AAAAAAAACATGCTATACGTTTACGCATAGGCGATTTGAAAAAAACTTACAGAACTTACATGGAACGGAGCTTAAATTGAACAACTACATTTTCGTAATAGTATGGGGAAACGCACCGAGATGTCGAAATGTAATGTCGTAAGTTGATCGGCGATTCTCTGGCATAGGAATTTGGCTTAACTTTTTTTGTTAACGGTTACCTATTTAATAATACTTTTCACATAAACTCACATAACAACACATTATGTATCTTTTATTAATGTTTGACATAAATAAATTTGTTGACCGTCATTTGTCTTAGAGTTCCGTGTATAATAAGGGAAATAATCCAAGATGGCGATCTCCCAGAATCGTCGATCTTTTCCTGAAAAAAACTTGAATATTTCTATACCTGTGTATTTTACGCACCCCCCACTTTGGGTATTAAATTTCTGGAAAAAAAAGTGCACAAATTACATGGGTTTTTACGGTATGCAGTATTAATTATATGTCAACATGAACTTGCAAGTTTCTTTGGGACATTGCAATGCTATGACAGATATTTTACTGAATTATTAAGACATTTCAGTCAACTACCAGGTAGTAGTCAATTTCTTGAAATGGCTAATACTTGTGGATCGAAATTTGAGTTGCTTAATGAATTGTTTCATTAGAACTTTTGCTTGCCTGCTGTCTGAATCACTGTCACTGCTTGAAGACGAATTCTTCCTGTGCTTTTCTCTTCCCCTTTCAGGTCCACTTTTCTTTCTCTCCCGGCTTTTACTTTGACTTCTTACCCTAGATACAGAAAAAAATCAAAATGAATTTCAATGGCAAATATTTCTGCACACAATTAAAGTTTTATAATTACCACATTTACAGGTTTGGATGGGTCTTTTGATTACATAGCAAAATTATTTTTTCCGTGTAGTCTTTCAAATGTCTAAATATGTAAAAGTCAAACTAAATTAATGTATAGTTAAATGTTTAAATCTGAAAAGAAGTTGGAAACCTTTATTTGGTAACTTGGTCTTGTTGAGATTGCATAGGTTGGAAGAAGATACATGTAAGTTAAATGTAGTGAATGTAANCACGGCATAAGCTCACTTGGCACTTCGTGCCAGGTGAGGTAAAAACCACTATTTAGTACAAATGCATCTTCTTCAATTACCAGCAATCACATGTACAGTACGGACACTTAAAGAAGTACATTTTAAAACATTTCTACCGATATATTATATATATAACAATAGTTTTAGAGCCTGCAGTTGGTGCGAGTTATATGGTTAGTTTCAGAGGAGTATAGCTATATAGGTGATGGCCACTTTACTAGTGTAACATGCGGAAGCCCAAAGGGCACCCATCCAGCCACAGACCATGCTGATGTTGCTGAATTTGTTAACACATCCAAGGGTTATACCGCATCACTGGAAAAGAAAGCTTGCCAGTAAGGCGATATTCCCCCCCCCCCCCCCCCC